TATATATATATATATATATATATATATATATAAAATAAAGATAATCCCACTGGTGGCCAACAAGGACAAAAACTTTATCCTTTTTTTTTTTAAGGAAAAAACTTTATCCTGTATTTTGCAATTTTGCCCTCATCTAAAGTTAGCATAATGATGCAAAATATCAACTTGCTCAACACCCCCACGCGGGTGTTCTCAAAGTGATTAACAATATCATACAAACTCTCACCTTTTCTATCAACATCTACATTTCCTCTCATACTACTTTTCTTTCATGAACAAAGCTCTACTTGGATAACATTTTTCAAAAATATTATTAAGAAAATAAAATAACATGAAAATTAAATTGAAATTAACTTTCTTGTAATTAAAATTAGTTTATATAATTTAAAAAACATTTTGAAGAAGTTAATATTATTTTTATAAGTAGAAATCAAATTCAATATAAAAATTATAACAACTTGCTTATATACCGTTCAATCAATTAAATTAAATCTTCATAATTGAACAAACTGATGCAGAAAAACTATTACTAATTTTTTTAAAACTTTTTTTTTTCCCTTAAAAATGCTTTCAGAAAAAAATTATCTAAATATAAGAAAAATCTCATATCTAGGAATTAGCTAAGTAGTTACTCCCTTATTCTACAATTATAATTTAAAAACAACAATATTTCATGTATTACTTTTGATAGAATCTTATTAAAATAGTCTATTTTCTAATAAATATATTATCTTAAATTGTCATAATTGAATAATTTATGAAAGGATAAATTTAAAAATAATAATTAAAATTATATTAAAAAATAAAAATATTATGACTTATTTAAATAAAAAAAATTAGAGTCAGATGGAGGAATTACAAGTTTCAACTGTTTAGAACCGATAAAAAAGAGAAGAAAAAAAAAATTACTGAACAGATGAGTTGACAGGAAACAAGAATTAAGAGTACTGAAGGCAAGGAAAATAGAAAGATTACTGTACAAGCTATTTAAAGAAGTAAAAAAAGTAGTTTGCAGAACAAAAATAAATTCCATTAACCACTTTCACAAGTCCAACAACCGAATCCCTGCTACAGAAAACAAAAAAGTAATACAAAACTCAGCATAATATATATAATAAAAAGAAAAGAGAAATATAGAAGTAATGATTATGTTGAAAATAAGATGAATTGAAGCGGCCCTACCCTAACAAACCTAAAAGTAAAGATCAACAAACAAAAGTGGCCGGAATATTCTCTCTCCGCCGCCTTCAGCCTTCAGGCCACCGTCTATTAATTAGTAATCCATTAAAAACTGCTCCTACCTCCCTCGTTTCGCCTTCTCCCCTGCTTTCCCAAAGGCCGCGCAAAACCCGCATGCAGACAGCCTCGGAGACGGCGGCTCTATCGCCGGCGATACTTTTCCCGTGCGGTAGCCCCGCCCTCCGCCGGCCGAGCGGCTTCTCTGGAGCGGCGGCGTCTTAATCTGGACGTCGTTGGCCTGCTCTTCTTTGACTTTGTTGAATTCCTCCGACAAGAACTTATCGTCCCACACAAAGCCCGACGACCCCTGCCTCCTGAACGACACCGCAGATCTTTGAAGACCAGCCATGAATTCAACCACTTTTTCTCAATGCTTATGCAGAGAAATAGAGAGAGAGAGAGAGAGAGGAGAGTTGGTGAAGAAATTGAAATTGGTTGCAAGTGGTTATTACTTGTTACTTATTAGAACCCTCCCTCCCAAGTCAATCCTTTTTTTATTCCTCTACCTTCCACCTTATTTATTATTTCTCATTTCTCATTTATTATATAAATTCCTCCTTCTCTTTCCAAATAATATCTTCATTCATTTCTATATGTTAAATTATTTATAAATTAAAATTTTAAATATGATTTATATATTTAAAATGATATTTATTTATGTATTTTATTTATTATTAGATTTATTATAATAGTAATACTAATAAAAATGATGCGCAGTGACACACGGGTGTTAGTGTTAGGTCCACGAGGTGAGTGTGTGCACACTATCTCCACCGGCCTTGTCATATCATAATCCATCAATAAATCAAGACAAGAAAACGCATTCACGTCCCTGTCGCCCAACCATTCTTTTTAATATAACCATACTAAAATACAAATTCAACTAACCACTCTAATCCAACGCTCATATTACTACTTCATAAATTACTCCTATTTATATGTACAAGTACCACACCACAAATGTAGAATTTAACTTTTTTATCCGATTAATTTATCATAAATAAATATTCATATGATTTTAAAGTAGTTATAAAAAAAATTAACAAGCTTATATGTAGAGTATGTATTTGGAAACCAACAAATGTTGGTTCGTTTGATGCCAAACAAATTCATATATCAAAAATATCGATTTTATACATATAGATGAAATACATTATCACACATATAGTTGATTTATTTTGCATATGTAGTTGATATTGTGGAGTTGTGTAATGCATATGTTTAATTATGGTGTTGTATATACATTGTTGAGTTGATAAATTATGTTGTGAACATGATGTGATGATTACGTGGTGTTGTTTATATATTCTGTTATTAAGTTGTGGATTAATGTTATGTTGAAGCATGTTGAGTTTATTTTGTTAATAATATAATAAGATTTATTTATGTACTATTTATGTTGATTTCTTTTGAATTTTAGCTTATTCTTGTATATTTTCATGTGATTGATTTGCGATAATTATACTTATTATGTGAGCAGAACAAGGATAAATAGACCACATGAGAGGATGGTCGAGTTGACCTTTTTGAGTTTCTCTTATGTAATTGATGTAGTATGTTACTTGACCAACAATTAAGATTTATTTCCATATTATATATAGTCAAAATTATTACATACACTTGTTATATGATTCCATAATTGATAGACTTTATTGTACATACATACATACATACATACATATATATATATATATATATATATAGGGAGCATATCAAGTGAGAGGGAATTTATTATGAGAGATGAGAGAGTTAAAATATAACCCTTAGATTAATCAAGTGAGAGAAAATTTGGAGTTTAATCAAGTGAGAGGAAATTAATCTAAGGGTTATATTTTAACCCTCTCATCTCCCATAATAAATTAATCGCTATTAAATCGATCTAGAAAACACTTTTTAAATTGATTATATTAAGATTGGTTGTAGAAATTAAGTATTAAGTTTTTCATCAACCAAAAAAAAATGTGGATATCCTTTGAAAATTTTAAATTTCTAAAAAGATTTTCTAGATTGATTCTTTAAATAATTGATCTTGAAAATACTTTAAGATTGGTTCTTAGTATAACCAATTTATAATGTTATATCTTTGCAACTTTTGAAGTTTTTGGCTAGATTTTCTTGATTATTATACTAAGAATCAATCTATAAAATATTATCTAAATTTATTCATTGAAAGATCAATTTAAAAAATCTTGTATAAATTTTATGATTTCAATAGCGTGCTCATATTTACATTCATTCTTCATGAATTTTCAAACTCCCATTCTATGGATTGAAAAATCCAACAAACACCTTGAGGAAAGTATTTTCAAGTTTACATTGAATTTATTCATTTTCAATTTTCTAAAAGTTCTTTATTCAATGTGTTCTCCAAATCCTAGTTTTATGAGGCATTTTTATACCCGTCCTTTTCTCCTTCATGAGATTATTTTCTTTCTCTATATTTATGGCTTCATTTTCTAGCCCTAGCCTTTCAAACTCTAACCTTGTTAGATCCCTTTCTTATAGGAGGTGTGTGTGTGTTTTATTTTAAGACTCAAAACAATAAGTTCA